TCCGACTCCCATTTCAGACCCTCTGCATGTCACAGCACCACCCTCACCGCACAACTGAGAACCTGGTTTCAGAAATGCTGAAGCTGACCTCAGCCACAATCCTTTTGCTGGACCGCCTTTTTTGCCAAGCAAAATATATGGGGTTCAGCACAATTCTGTGTGTAGGTGGTCGAAAAGCAGCCAGGGCCTTGGTGTTGCGTGGCACCTAGGAAATCTGCTTGTGATTCAAGGGGTAAAAAGCCAAGCAAATTAAGTAGCTTTGTGTTGTAATACCTATGTCAATTTATAGCATATGCCAGCCAACACTATTTAAAAATCAGTTAAACATAATATCTTTCAGGTTTTATTGAGCTAGTTCTTTGGACATACATTTTTTGGCCTGTTCAGTACACTTGTTTGCTGGTATCTACTATAGAAAGGGCTCAAAGTGCTTTTGAAAGGTAGTTAACACATGGCCACTGTTATGGGGGGACCCTGGCTCTTGAACAAAACAACTAGTGGGGTTGAAGTTTAACCATGCCTACTGTACCATGGTACCGTAATTATTGCTATGGATTGCAACTTTAAATTAAACAAAACCAAAGTGGTCAGGGTCAGTGGTCTATCTGCGCTCCCTTCTAGGCAAAGCTAGAACTGTAAGCTGCAAACATTATTGTTCTTGTGAACTAGCCCTCTTACTGTATCACACCAAAATGGGTATTTTCAAGGTACTAAAAATATGAAAGTTAAATACGAAAGCCAAGAAATGCCCATGTCATTCTGTTAGATGTGTAGTGAGAGAATTTTAAAAAAGGTATTTCCTATAATACCCTGTGCACCCATCTCTGAATCTGTCCCCTGCATTGTGCATAGGACCAAAGCCTGCTTTAGGAATTGTGATGTGGTAGTGGTGGGAGTGAGGGTCACCTTTCGCATTGCATGAACACTTGTCTTCAGTATCACCAATCTGGTCATGCTCAGCTCGTGAGTCGGCTCTAGCCTGGCTTTCACTTTTATCATGCTGAAACTACAAGAATCCTTCCCTTGACTTACTGCTCTGCCACAGCTGTTTTTCTCTTGTGATCCTGTCAGTTGCTCTCCCCTCTCATTGCCTTCATTTTCAAGACCCTGGACAGCCCTTCTCTCACCCTCTTCCTCATGTCACATCATATAAACAAGTTAACTCCACTCTGACCAGCCAATGATTTGAGCCTCCACTGTACACTTCTTACATCTTCAAGCAAGTATCTTTTTTCCCTCTCCCATGCTGCCTTTCACAGGAGGAATCCTCCATAAACAGATGCAAAGTTAACTACTTCACTTTTCTTCTGCTGTCATGTTTGCAAAAAGCTTCAGAACAGTTAGGCAGTACCTTGCTGATCCCCATTGTTTCCCTGTCTCTCCCCTTTGTCAACCTGTGAGATGTCTAATTTTCTTTACCGATCCTCTTTGGAACAGGAAGAGTTCTTTTGCTCCATGTCTGTATATACCTTGCACAATGGGGTCTTGAGCTACAGTCAGGGGTTTTAAAGGCTATGGATTATCCAAAAAGAAAGTAGATAAACCTGCATTAAGCATTATACTAGTCACTTGGGCATGAACACTTCCCTTGCTTGACCCTGGAAAGCTTGCTTTTACACAAACCAAAACAAGGAATGGGGGAGGTGGGCAGCAAAGAACACTGAGATTTCTCTCAGATGTTATTGTGAAACGAAGGGGAGCATAGCACTAAGTTATACTTGGCAGAATGCAATGCATCATATGTTTCATCTAATACCTGCTCACCATCACTGGCTTGGGCAAACATTTTTAGCTATTTCACTTGTAGTTCCACCCATCTTATTTTTGCCTTCACCAATACCTTTATACAAAAAGTGTGCTGTAATAAAAGCAAATCACTTACCAATGTCACAAGTGCACCATCACAAGACTCATACAGATTGCTGGGGTGGCAAATAGGTCTACATCCCATTTTCACTGACAGACTTGGAAGCTCACTACTTGGCCACTGTTTACTTGTATGTGAAATCACATGCTGCTTTCCTGAAGAAACTCCAGGAACCTAAAAAAAATGTGATGGCTGCTGAGAAAGGAAGAAAAGTGGTAAGACAACATAATGATCCACAAATTGCATCTTTACCAAAACCACCTGAAATGAAGGCTGGTGGATGTAGCCGGGACAAAAAAAGTGTGTACATGCTAGAATTTTTGCTTCTGAACCCAGAGGGAACTTGGAGAATATTAAAGATAATTTTTCTTGAGGAATTTGCTTAGTACAAGCTTAAAGAGCAATGAACATTTTGTGGTTATGGGAAGCAGCTGGCAATCAGCACTACTCAGAAGGAAGTCTTGTCCTTTCACCCTGAAAGGCCAGTGAAATAAGTAAGAGGTACTAGGATTGCAACCATTGCTGCATTGCAGCCCTTTGTACACTTGTGGGCCAACCGTGATTTTTGCAAACTGATATTCATTGTGAAATGTCAGTGCCAGCTTCCTAAACACATACTGTGTACACAGGATATGTCTGTAATGCACAATATCATAGAGTTGAAGACAACACATGCCCTGTGAGTGTGACACCCCTCTCCTCTCCAGTTTCTGGACTTGCAGTAAGAACTGTGACTGTAGCCCAAAATAGCTGTTCTGTCCACTGAAGTTTAGTAAAGGATCAGCGGCAAATATTTTCTGAAGAAACTGCTAAACAGCAAAGCTCTACCACTGTATGTACACAGCTTTGAAAAGCTGTGCTTCCATCTCACCGGGCTCAGAAGGTAGTAGTCAACAGCTCAAAGTCTAGTTGGCAGCTGGTATCAAGTAGAGTGACCCAGGGGTGGGTCCTGGGGCCAGTTTTGTTCAATATTTTCATCAATAACCTAGAACATGGGATGCAGTGCACTCAGCAAGTTTGCAGATGACACCAAGTGGGGGAGGGGAAGAAGTAGTAAATATGCAGGAGGGTACGACTAGGATTCAGAGAGACCTCAACAAGTTGGAGGATTCAATCAAAAGACATCTCATGAGGTTCAACAAGGACACGTGCAAAGTCCTGCACTTAGGAGGGAGCAGTTCCATGTACCGGGGCAGGCTGGGGGGCTGACTGGCTGGGTAGCAGCTCTGCAGAAAAGGACCTGGGGGGACAGGGGACAAGAAGCTGAATGTGAGCCAGCAGTATATCCTTGGTGCCAAGAAAGCCAATGGCATCCTGGGCTGCATTGGTAGGAGTGATGCCAGGAGATCAAGGGAAGTGATTCTTTCCCTCTGTTTGGTACTGGTGATGCCACATCTGGACTCCTGTGCAGTTGTGGGCCCCCACTACAGAAAGGATGTGGACAAGTCAAAGAGAGCCCAGGGGAGGGCAACAAAAATGGTTGTGGGGCTGGGTGACATGACTTGTGAGGAGAGGCCGAGGGAACTGGGCTTATTTAACCTGCAGAAGAGAAAGCCATGGGGGGATTGAATAGCAGCCTTCAGCTCCCTGCAGGGGGGCTGCAAAGAGAAGGGAGCTAGACTGGTCTCAGTGGTGGCAGATGACAGAACAAGGAGCAATGGGCTCAAGTTGGAGGAAGGGGAGTTGAGGCTAGATATCAAGAAAAACTCTCATGAGGGTGGTGAAGCACTAGAACAGATTACCCAGAGAGGTGGGGGAGTCTCCGTCCTTGGAGGTTTTGAAGACCCAGGTAGACAAAGCCTTGGCTGGGATGTAGTTAGGGCTGATCCTGTTCTGAGCAGAGGGTTAGACTAGATGTGACCTCCTGAGCTCCCTTCCAGCCCTCATTTTCTATGATCTCCCCAGATTCTAGGCAAAAGAAACATTTGCTCTAGGTGAAGGAACCTGGCATGACCTTTGGCTTTCCTTCCCCAATGGGTATGAGAAATGCCACAATTGCCCCACCCCTAAAACCCCACATATCTTCAATTTAGAGGATTTGGGGGAGTGGGAATCTAGGACAGACTGTCAACAACTTACACCCTTCCATTATGGCAGCACTAAAATATATTTATACATGTAACCTAAGCTTTGCCTCCACCCAAATTTATCACTCATTTGAAGCTCAACCAGCTTTGCAATACAATGCAACTCCTGTGTTCACCTTTTGCCTTCCATGCGCAGTGAAAATAAGTGCAAATAACAATAACCAAGTGCAATGGAATCACAATATAATGATACAGTGTAACTGATGTTTGTATAGACCTAACAATATTGCTTGGCCCTCAGGGGAAAAGGTTAAATTCTGGAATGCAAATGAGCCACTCAAGGATAGAACGGTTTCAGAAAATTAACGAAGCATGCCACTAGCCAAAGATAAGGGGAAAATTTACTGCTGGAATTGATACTTGCATGGAATTTGAGCATTCTCTTGGTCAGCTCTCACGAAGCAAGGAGTAAAGTACCAGCTGGCTGATTGCAGACAGACCAATTAAGGACCTGTCCAAGTGCTGGGCACCCATGTTTTAGTTCAGTGGTTTTCAACCTTTTCTTATTTGTGGGCCCCTAAACATTTTTGAATGGAGGGGAAGACACCTATTCATTTTAAGTGTGGGTATCTGCATACTTCTGGATTGATCAGTCATCTTTCAAGGACTGATAGTCTGCGGACCCCTGGAGTCTGTGGACCACAGGTTGAAAACTTGAGCCCACTGCTAGAAACACTTCCCAGGTTCCGGTTTTGCTGTTAGCTGAAGTTAACTGACCCTGCGTCCAGACTGAACTCCACTTTGGAGGCAGAGCATAACTCCTGAATTCAGTCTGGACACAGGGTCAGTTAACTGCAGCCAACAGCAAAACCGGAACCTGGGAAGCATTTTAGACAAGTTGTGCATCACTGCATGCCTGCAGCATAGCCTCAGACTGAGTAGTAGCCTCAGTCAAGGCAGAGCAGGAATTCTTTGCCTCCCATTTGGAACGTCATATCAGGGACCCCTTGATTAAGAGTAACCATTTACAGATGTTTTGATAAAACAGCATAGAAAATGCAAGTCTTTAGTGTTTAAATATGTGAATTTATACACTGACACCACTGTTTTGCTCTAGAAGCATTTTAATTTACAAACAGCAATTCCCATTGACTTTATTTATACCATAAAAAAAGCAATTTACAAGCAAGAAACGAAAATTCATCCAAACAAAATAAAGCAGCACTGAAATATTCATGTCACAAATCTAAAACAAAATGAATACAAGAGTAAAATATCATTTGAATAAATATTTTAAAATTCATGCTATAAAATAATCCTTAATGGCAAGTTATTAGTTGTTACAGCATCAGCTTAGCTAGCTTCATTTACTTCATGTGGTGATGAAGTGTGGAGTTGTGAGGTTACCAGTTTATATTGCAAGATAATGACACCAAGTCAAGTCATTCAAACTGTTCAAATACTTATCATGAAAACCGTACAAATAATAAAAGTTATTTAAAAATACCATTTTCTGTTAAGGAAATAAACACTGTTAATGTTGTGCAAGTGAGTTCTAACTCTAATCAGATACACAACCAGAGACTTGCAGGACAAGTCCAAAGGTTGAATTCATAGCATTTGTAAATTGGAGAGAGAGCAGTTTATTTTACCTGCTGTAGCAGCAGCTGCTTATATACGCTTAAGCAAGTCTGCTCAGTTATTGATTCTTTGCTTCACATCCCTGAATAAAAACAGGAACAGAGTTGTCCCTTCTGTTAACATTTTTATGTAAGCTTGCATAACAAAGTCAACATCATTGCAAGGATGGGAGAGTAACACGTTTAGTCTAAAGTTGCATTAAATACAATTATTCTGGCACTTATTAAAAAGATATGTAAGAAAAACCTAATGGATATAAACTTTGAACATTTTGAATGACTTCACTGAACTTCTGATTAAGTCACTGAGTATTATGAAATTTACAATTCATGAACTAAACAGATTCATATAAAGAATTTACACAATTCCCCAAATACTTTCAATATAAAATTTAATAAATAACCCTGACCAGTCTAAAAGCACCATTCAAGGGTAAAACTCCCTTGGAAAATAGATTAGGTGTTGCATATTTGAGTCCCTTTCAATGGTTTCATGTGAAACCCTTTCAGAAAAATCACAATAAAATAATCACAGTAAACTAATATAAACAATTAAAATAAGATACTTCTTTTTTAAAGGTAAAGCTCATTCATATCAATCTTTTCCCAGCCCTTGATTTTATTCTTGCTATTCTTCCCATAATTCAGCCTAACAGTTATAGCAGGCCTTATCATTTCAGCTAGAAATAAACTGAAGGCTTCAGTATAAAAACACGTTTATTCGTGTTTGGGAAGATAAAAATATTGAAAACTATCAATTTAGGTCTACAGTATATTCTGCTGAACAGTGAATAGACAGTATCCTTTATGCTATTAAAAGAATTCACACTAAAATGCAAAACCAATCATGAGGCGCTCCGTTGACCAAAACTGAACTTCTGAGACACTACACTTATTTACAAAGTTATTTTCTAAATGTATTTACAACTTTAATAGAAAGTATATGGAAGATAAGTGATTAGGAAAACTAAAATAACTGTTTAAAACCAGAAACATTAGCAAAAGTATAAAATTCTTTGTCTTCACAGTTTGTAATAATAGGTTTAACATCTAGAGGAAAGGACACTGTCACTGTTTTCACATTTGTCTATGTAAATTAAAAAGGTAGATCAAGAAGAGACTCAATTATGAACTAGCCTATAATGATTTCATGATGTATTTTACTGTCAAATATTTCTTCACATATCACTTATTTTATTGACTTCTGCATTTATTGTAAATGAAATGTTTAACAGTTCTGTGCTAACTTAAAACTGTACAGAAACAGGTACTGTACAGTACTTTCAAAACTTATTTAAAATAACACAGCATACTTTGCCTTGGTGGACTTGTGAAATGAACTTCAATTTGATAATGCTTTATGTTTCATGGTAATGTTAATCCTGGCATACCATCATGTGACAAGGCACAATTTAATTGCTGCTGCCAGACTTGAAGTTCACTTTCTACCAGTCACACTTTGCAAGAAGTATAAATATAATGCTCAATGATGTTCTATGCTTACTTAAATGTATGCATCCTGTGAAGCACTGCTCAACTTTACAGTACTGTGTTATGGCTTGATAATTCTTAACACTGCTAGCAGTGGAAAAGGTAAATATTATACCAACATGAATGGGAGCAAGTGGAACTTACAAACTGCTAAATAATGATATTGTAGAAAAATGATCATTTCCTGCCCCTTAACAGTCCCATTACAATGTTTGAACCTGAACCTGTACAATCAAAGTGATGTATATTTGTCAGAGACAATTTTGGATAAGTCACTCTTTGGTAAACTCAAACCAGTTTAATAAATTTACAAATACAAAGAACTATATTTAAATAATGTTAAGACTGTGACAGAACAAAAGTCAGGAAATGCAAAAGTTTACAGCCTTTTCCCCTACTATCCTCAACTCATATTACCATGGAAACCAGCCATCCCAAAGGCGTCACAGCACAAGTTTAAGATAAAAGGTCAAGCTTTACTCTGCATTCCTTGGCTTTTGTGCGTCTCAAACTTAATTTTATCAAAACACAATTTTTTGCATTTAAATACTTAAAAACCCATATGTAAGAACAACATCTGAAACACCAACACGTGTTTAAGTGGGTAAACATGTAGAGATCTAACCTCCCCTTGATGCACATGTACGATTTCCATTAGTGGAAACAGGAGCTCTACTGTTGCTTCAGGGAGAGAACAAACCCCTTATTTAGGCAGTTTTAGGAGGAAAAGGCAGATTATATACCCGATTTAACTAAAACTACTCCTATAGAGCAGCTGGGGTTTTATAGTGTAAGTCTGTATTTAGTAACATTAATCCTTATTGCGGACTGTCACAATATTAAGAGCTAGTGTATTTTTATAAAAAAAGTTACTGCACAAATATACCCCAGACTCATGGGGTAAGGGCTTGAAAAATATTTAAAATCCCACAAAAAGCAATTTTTGTTATAGAAGTCCAAAAAGCACTGTAAGCCAGCAAACCTACCTTTTTGCTTTCCTTTAACTTGGAAAACAGCTTCTTTTTTTTTTTTTTTTTTTAATTTCAAGAGATTAAAAGCATAATCGCAGGTACATTTTGGATGTCTGAAAAATGACTAAAAAAATATAGTGCCAAATGTTATAAAGCATAATTCTTGTATATATTTAAAAACTTGTGATCAACACAATTGTTATTTCCATAATTCTGTTGATCAGGCAGAATTCCACCTAGTAGTGTTTGCTAGCTCATGCTTTTGAGGTCTCTTTCAAGCTATAATCTCATTGAAAAGATTTTGTCTTTTTTTTCACTGTTACCATAAGGTTTCACATTTTCTATACTATACTGACCTAAATGATATCAAAGGTAAAGTTAGCACCACATTAAAAAAAAGCATTTGGTAAAAAAGAAAAAAAAAGATTTAGAGTATTTTTAAAGTTATTGGTGGCTTCTTAATGCAGAAAACATTAACCACTGAAATTATAGGGAAGCCATAGTGACTCTGTAATACTCACATATGTAACAACAGACATATTGCTCGCAATTCCCATATAGTATTTTTACAAAAAAGTACAAATTCCAAGTGCTGGCATGTCACTTGGAGCTATAAGTAGGAAGTCAATGTGCACCTGAAACAGCTCTCTGGGAAGAGACCTAATACAACACTGCTTGGAAGTACTGTAGTTTGAACTACAACATCCCTTTTGGGCTAGTATTAATCAACTAAGTGGAGTGATTAAGTTAGATTCAGTTACCTGGTATGTTTCTACAGTACGAAATGAAGGTAGATTCTGAGGCCAGTAAAAACACATTTAAAACCACAATGCTACTTTTGGGTTTGCTAATATAACAATACAGTTCTATAAAAAGGTCAGCACCACAGGTTGTCCAGCTCGTACTCTAGACAACAAACAAAAACCCAAACAATTCAACCATAACTTAATAGATTTATGGCATTTGGTTTACATATCTGTTATAAAGCAAAGCTATTTGCTTTGCTCACTTTTGGACACAACATAATATTTTAATAAAACAAAACCCAAAAAACATTCTTCTAAAATCAAACAAACAAGCAAACATCAACAAAAATCCCAGCAAAGTCCTAAATGCTAGGCAGAGATGAGACTGAAGAGTTGAAAGCCTTGTACGTGGCATACACTTTGACACACGCTTACATTCACCCCATCGAGAGTAGGAAAGTGAAAGCATCTTATTTATATATATTTATATATTTATAAATATATATAAATTGCTAGCTACCAAAAATAGCTATTTAAAAACTAAACAAAATCCATTATGAGGACACATGGAGGGGATGCAAGGGACAATATTCTCTCCCACGTGGTTATGTAACTCTTATTACCAATAACGAGAGTTAAGCACAGTGAGAGAAGATAGAGCCACCTGGTGCATTCAGCACGACTGCCAATCTTTGTGTCTTTCACTCACCGAATTCATGTTTTGCCCAATCAACCTGTAGGAAACATTTTTAGCCAACTCCCCCCTACACACACACACTCTCCTTTATATGATGAGCATCTTCAGGAGTGAAAAATACTCGGCCTTGTTCAAATGGATGGAGAAACATTTATGTAGCTTTCTCCAGAGACCATTTCAACCAGATTTCCAAAAGATCAGGTAAATTAAAAGGCTGATACACTTGTATATAAAATTATTACAGAAGAAAAGTAATGTGCTTTGCTTGGGTTGCACTTAGAACATAGTATTTTAATCAGGTGTGTTGGACATTGTGTGAATTTCCATACTAGAATCCATAGCTTCAGAGGCCGAAGTGTCATTATCTATTTTCTGTTCCACAAATGGTTCTGTTCTTTCTGGAGACTCTACCCGATTTCTCACTTCTGCTACCCCAGGGTGATTCTTTCTCAAATGCTGGTTTAGTGTCCCTTGAAAAGGAAAGCATTTCCCGCAGATCTCACAGCGGAAGGGTTTATCATCTGTGTGGCCACGAATATGATATTCAAGTTGGTCCTTGCGTGTGTATTTCTTCCCACAGAATTTGCACACAAAAGGAGTTATTCCCATGTGTAACCGCATATGTCGATCAAGGCTCCCCTTCTGGTTGAAAGACTTTCCACAGTAAATACAAATTAACCTCTCGTTGTATGGATACCAGTGACCTCTTGCACTTCTTTCCCGTGGACTGTTTTCATATCCTGGATTACTCACTATGGTTTCACTGTCAGCCCCTTGCATCAAGCCCTGAACATCACTGTGCAAGTGTCCAGTGGATACCCGTTTTTGGCGTGCACGACCTCCTCTGAAACAGCTCAGCATAGACCTTGACGGACTAGAATTACTCAGGCTTCCAAAGGTTTCAGATGCACTAGTAGCCTGGGATGAAGTGTGGGAAAATGAATATACATGTTGTAGCACAGACCCATAGGAGCCAACATTTATTGCAACCACCTGCTCTCCGTCTACCATTTCAGTATGGTATCCATCATCACCAAGGGAGGAGCTATCAGAACAACTTGGCCGATCAGATTTCTCCATTTTAACTTTCACCTCTGCAATCTGGCTCTCCCTTACTATCAGATCCCCTTGCTCATGATCGCCTTCAATCTGAATTTCATATTCAGAGACGCTCCCACTGCTTCCTCGATCTGAATGTCCTTCTTCTTGCAGACGATTGCGTAAAGTCTTGCTTGGAGTAGTTTCCATTCTAAGATCGCTACCTGCTGTCGACTGTCGCACCTGAGAGCAATAGGGGGGAGATATTTCAATAGGGTTGGCAAAATAGCTGCTATCTTTAACTCCATTCCGGTTTTCTGGATTTTCTTCAGCACCAACTGTGACAGAGTCGACATCACCAACGCTGATCTTTGAATGGATACTTTCTAGTATCTGTGTGCACTTGTCAATGACGCACTGCATCTGTAGAAAGCTAGCTGCAGTTAGAAAACTAACAACATCCTTCAGCTGCAAAGACATCCTTCCAGTGTAACAAAACGAAAGCAACTGTTCAAAGACATTGGGGTTTTTAATAACTGATATTGATAAGCCACTCATGGTGCTTAATGCTGAATGGTCACGGAAATATGGAGAACTGGCAGCTAGGACAGCCTTATGAGCTCTGAATGGCTGACCCTGAATGTGCACAATGATGTCGCATAGCTTCCCTTGCAGGCGAAGCTCGTTTAACTGGCTCAGAACAGTGCTGCTGTACTCGGGCACGTCAAACTGAATGAAACTGCTGCTGTCCATTTCTACTGCTGTAAAGCGTAATCTGAAAGAAAATAAAGAGATTTACCACTGAGACATTATACATACCCATTATCCATTTAAAAAACAAGAGTATGTATGCCAAAGTAGAGTCATTGGGTTGTTCTGCTTATGAAATCTAGCATAACAAATCAATTAAGCTTTAGCAGCTTTTCTGTCTCCTGCTCACAACTCGGTCCCTGGAATAACTAACAGTTTGGGCCACTGACAATTCAATTGCTCTGGAGTGTCCATCACCAACTTTGAAGTAGTGTCATAACATCAATCTCAACTAGAATGGCAGAACATGAGGCCATCTAGAACCCTATTCATACCAAAGTGCCAGTTACAGCTTTAATTTACAAAGTCTTTGCTAGGCTGCAAAGTAAGAGGCAAAAATCACACAACCACTGCTGGACCACTGTGTCCACATGCCCAAGTCTTATTTTACCAAGTACAGCAAGCTTTTTAAAAGCCTGGCAAAGACAAGAAAGGCCAATGAACTGTTTACTGTATGAGTCTAGAACTTACTGTCTGGAGAGATTTTCAGTTAACACATCTACTATTCAGACATGTAGTATTAATGCACATTGACAGATAAATAACCAACAGATTTCATACTGATAATGAAAGAGTACACTTTCATTATAATTTAATACACTGAAAGGTTCCCTGTTACTGCAACATGGTGACTGATAAGGTAGGTTCTGTAGCATGGGGAAAAATTGTAGTTTTAAACACACACAAATTCCTAGAAGCAATTATATTGACTTAATTGAGAGCACCTAGAGATGTGCTGCAAATATATATTATTGAAATAGTTATTTATTAATAGGTCCATCAACTCCTTTGGCTCATATACAGTGTCTAGTGCAACATATCTATAATATATTTTACTCCCATAGTCATTTCCAGTAGCTTCTCTCCTTGGAAATTAATCACAAAGTTTACACTGAAAATATTAAACTTTGGGAATTAGAACTACAAGGTAAGGAAGTTCCTAGTAAAAGGAAACACTACTCTTACTTTACAGCCAGACCCAGGTATCCAGACAGCTCTAAATGCATATGCTATATGTGCTTCAACGCTCAAAGCAAAGTTCAGTCAGCAGCTACCAGCAAACTGTCAGTCTTTGAGCTTCCTTTTTTTTTGTGGTTTTCAACCTGTCCCTTTTTTGCAGGCTATACATGCATTTGAAATGAACACTACTTGCTTCTGGTCATTTCAGCATCTCATATTTTTGTCTACACAACTGAGGCTTCATTGAGCTGTTCAACAGCTGTTCCCTTCTGAACTCATTTATGGGTCATCAGGTGGCAACAAGTGCAGTTCTGAGTCTGGAAAGTCAAACCTTCTCCTGCTACCTAAGCATTCTCATTTCCTGCAAAATGTCTGGAACTGCAGTTCCAAGAACTCCATGGAAACAAATGCATTTCAAAATGCAGTCTGAAGAGAGTGGCACTTCTGCAATTTTTCACTGCACTGTTATTACTAAAACAACCACAAAAAGAGAAACTTGTTGCCCAATGGTTCCCATTTCAAAAGCTTCCACTGCAGACACTGGGTCTTTCTATCCCAGGACTGCTACTGACCAGAGGTCTAGAGCCCTCAAGTGGCTTTACAGTAATCCCTGCTCTTCAGTTGCTTGATAGTCCAGGTGCATTACATACCCACCACACATGGCTTCTCCAGCTCAGGAAACAGGAATCTCCAGGTCATTCCTTACTGGCGGCACATAGTAGGAGGCATATCAAGATATTTCTACACACTGCTGAATTACCTTGTATTTGTGCCTCAAATTACATGCTGTCAGGATGATATGAAAGATATGAAATTTAAATTACATTATCTGCAACAGATGATGAAAAGCCAAGCACTCTCCTAGAAACCCTTAGAGTTCAGGAGAGGAGAGCAAAGAAACCCCCTAAGAAGAACCCAGGAAAGGGGCGGGCAATTATTTCGAGAGGAGGGCCACTTAACTGAGTTTTGGCAAGCCATCAAGGGCTACATGGCAGGCAGCCAGGGGCAGATAAATATTAATTTTCTAAGTTTTGGGGGGCCTCACGGGCTGGATAGAATGGCCTGGCAGGCTGCACCTGGCCCGCAGGCTGCATTTTGCCCACCTTTGACCCAGGATCTGTCTGTCTTCCTTGTCAGTGGTGCTGCTCCAGACTGTTCCTGCTGCAGACTGCCTTCAGAAGTGGGATGGCTTTAAAAGCAAGATAGGCAACTTCTAAAAATCAGACACAATCCAACTGAAATGAAAATGCAGCGTCTTGTCTTCCTCCACATTTTTCACCGGTCCCTTTGTGTTTGGAAGGAAGTTTTAAATATCAACTCATAGATGAACATAATCATATCAGACCATATAGCAGCTATTCTGTTAGATATTCTAAGTCCTTTCCAAATTTAAGGATATTAATCACAAGTAAGGTATATTTAGCAATGCTAATACAATTATAAAATACCATGATATTTTAGCAACATATACTGGCACAGTATTTTTTTTTTTTTTTTAACTTGCTCGTTTGGGTTTCATTAATTTTGTCCTATATTAGGATAGATGAGCCAATTTTATAATGTTCTTATAGTAGAAAACATGGAGAAAAAAGGGGACCTAGGAAAGGCTTACAAAGCGACTGGATCACTGTATGTAAGTTAAGAGATGATTTCAGATAGCACAGAGTTCTTTAATCTAGCAAACATTTAATGAAACCAAATTCTCAGGAGCTGAAGCTTGACAAATTTGGACAAAGAATAAAAAGCACTTCCTTTTATAAAAGCACTTAATAGTGATTAACTGTTGAAGCATTTAACAGACTTGGTTATTACAGCAGTGACCATCTTTGACCATCATGCAGGAAAAGATTCAACTTTCCAATGGGTAGGACGCACTTTTAGAGGAAGAACTGCTCAGTGGTTAGGGCACTCAAGTAGGAAACCCAGGTTCAATTCTCGGCCAATTCAAACAGGAAGTCTGTGGCAAAACAAGTCAGTTACTTACTATTAGTTCTCCCTTGGTAAAATGAGAATAATAGACCTGCCCTACCTCAAAGATGTGTTCTAAGGATATGGGGGTGTATGTAGATATCAGGGCTGTACAAAGCTTCGGGAGCTGATTTGATTCAGAGGAGATTCGGCCCAATTCAGGAACCGAACTTCTGAATCTAATCGGGAGACCAAGTAAAAGCTCTGAATCAATTTCATAGTTTCATAGTTTCTAGGGTCGGAAGGGACCTGAGCAGATCATCTAATCCGACCCCATGCCATGGCAGGAAATAGTACTGGGGTCAAACGACCCCAGCAAGGTGTTCATCTAACCTCCTCTTAAAAACCCCCAGGGTAGGAGCCTGCACCACTTCTCTTGGAAGTTGGTTCCAGATCCTAGCTGCCCTGACCGTGAAGTAGCGCCTCCTGATTTCTAGCCTAAACCTACCCTCTGCCAGCTTGTGACCGTTATTCCTGGTCACTCCTGGCAGTGCTCGGGGGAATAGTGACTCCCCCAATGCCTGCTGATCTCCCTTGACTAGTTTATAACAGGCCACTAGATCCCCCCTCAGCCTTCTCTTCTGGACGCTGAACAGGTTCAGGTCCCGTAGCCTCTCCTCATAGGCCCTGCCCTGCTGTCCCCTGATCATGCGAGTGGCCCTCCT